TTCTCCCTACTCCCCGCCCCCCACCCAGTCTGGATGTTTCGCTCTGGTTCTTCTAATGTTCATTCAGATGTCTAGTAAAGCAAACTGCCCTAGATTCATTTGCGGACTCAGCAGGAAAATAGCCTTATGGCAGCAAACTGTAAATAAGACTTGAAGAAAACATGTCTTTGGGCAGCTTTCTGCAGAGCTGGCTGTTGTCAGAGGATCTTGACAGGATCTAGCATAGCAAGATTTCACTGTCATGAGTATCTTCAGTAACGCTGCTTCATGTATCTAAGTAAAAAGTGACATGTATTGGCTTCCATGGTGCAGACCTGAAGGGAACTTTTCTTTCCAGCATAAAAATAGCTTTAAGGTAAAGCTGCTTTTTGTTGGCAATTGATATGCTGTCTGTACCAGTTTAAAAAAAAAAAAGTCAATGGGTGTCTAAAGACTCAGATTTGAAGGGTATCATTGTCCGTATTAAAATGGCAGTCATGTGCTTAAATTTTTCTCAGTTGAAATAAAAATAAATAAAAGAAGTTTCTAGAGTCAAAATAGAAAGTAACCCCCCAAAATGCATAGTTGCAGCCTGTAGACATAACCTTTTATCATTGTCTACTTCAGTGTGCCAGTATGTTTTCTCTTGGTTCACAAATATTACATGGCTTCATATGTTGATGGTAGTGTTCATTCCTTCACAAACTGTAAATTTAGTTTATAGTGGTAAGGCTTCCATTGTTTTTATACAGTAGTGAGTGTAGTGTGAAATCTATGGGAGCTGTAGATGCATGTGACATGGGAAATCTAACCTGCTTCTGCACCAATGGATGAGAAGGAAGAAAGAGAAGCTTCCATGCTATTAAGATTCTTTATTATATATTTAGCTGGCTATTTCATAAGTATGAAGTTTAAAAAAAAAAAAATGCAGCTTGGAGCTTTTTTGGTAAGGGCAATGAGTTAGGGATATCTTATTTAAGCTTTACTTTATGCAGTGCTATTCTGGCTGAACTTGCCCATCCCTAAGGAATACACACGGATCTGACAGACTAGTTATTCTGGGCCCAGAATGCAGAGGCTAAGGAGCTTATATAGCCTTTTAGGCAGCAGCATCTATCAAAATTTTGCTACCCTGACTGAACTCTCTAGCATTCAGGCTTGCATGATTTAGTGGATACTCCTTTATCTCCTGATTTGGCGTAGGGAGAGAATGTTCTGCAAAAAGTGTATCTTCATATGTAGCCCTTTTCTTCAGGAAAAGTGGTCTCCCTGATGAGCTGTAAGCCACTGTACTGTTCCATGTAGCTTTTACAAGCTTCTAAAATACAGCAATACTGCAACATAAGGTCAAACCTATTTACGGTGCATTTTTCTTCTAAAACTGAAACACTTATGAATACTTTCATTTTACAAACACTTTAAAGCTCTCATGGTAATCTCATTTCATGTGTTTTTGCAAGGCTTTGGGATATACCTCTATCATCCTATCTTTCTAAAAAGACTTGCTGTTTTTCATTTGTTGCTACTGAGTTTTCTACAGTGGTGCACTTCAGGAAGTGTGTTAAGACCTTTTACTGTGATAAAGATTTGATAATTGGTTTAACAAGAGAACATGTGTACGGAAGACATACAGCTGCTCTTAACAGAAATAGGAAAATCACAATTGAGTAAACATGTATGTACTGCCTCTTAGCAAGAAAATACTTTGAGGACATAGCAGGATAATTCAGGGACTAGATGATAGCATTATTTCATGACTGTCCTTTAGGATATAGATAATGGTAAATGAAATTAACACTAAAATCTTCAAGTTCTGGGTTTTTTTCCTTTTAAATGAATTTCAGATTTAGATAAATATGAAAACTAGTATCATGTGAATGTCTTGTTGATTCAGTGACAGCTCAGCTTCTTCAGAGTTATGCATTTTTCTGTCTCGGACCATTAGGAAGAGCTACAAGCTACCTGTGTTCTATGACTGGGAATAATTTTTTTTTAAACCCAGGAGTTGTTTGATTGTCTGACATCTGTTGATGATGATTTGTGATAACTTTCATGTTTAGCACAAAATGATGTAAAGACTTACAGTCCTTTAAGTCAGAGATAAGTGGATATATTTAGCATTTTGCTCACTGTAGAGTGAATAAAAGCTGAAATAATACGTTTAAAACTTGTGAAATTCAAGTACTGCAATAGCTGAACCCTCAGTTTGTCCCTCTTCTGTAGGGTGATACATAGTGAATCAAATGTCAGTCTTAATTGCTAGGTACAACTGTAAGTCTGGGGAACCAGATACAGGAACAACGTAGGCTTAGTTGTTCTTTGTTTCCTTGCTTTCCAGGTGACAAGGCTCTGGATGGTTACAGTAAGAAAAAATATGTCTGCAAACTGCTTTTCATCTTTCTCCTGGGGCATGACATTGACTTTGGTCACATGGAGGCTGTAAACCTGCTCAGTTCCAATAGATATACAGAGAAACAAATTGTGAGTAACTCAGTCTCTATAAAAGATAAGCTGTTCTGTCTAATACCCTGCCTCAGCTGTTTAGTCTGTAAAGGACTTTGCTTCATTCCCTACCCCTGTCTTAAAGCCTTATTTTGGATCTAGCAGTGATTCTGAAATTTAAACACCTTTGTGCACAGGGAATCTTATACTAACTATAAAAGCTAAAATGTGTACCCTGCGTAAAATTCTTACTCTTGTTAGGAAACTGCCTCGAGTCTTGCATTAAAAGGTAAGTAACCTTTTAATTTTCAGAATATCTCTTTAAATCTTCTTAGGTAAGATTGTGTTTATCAGGTACATGTAACTTACTAGTGTCTGAATAATAAGCCAAACTCTTGATTTACTCCCATTCATCTAAAATGATTGAGTATATGCTGAAATAGATTATGAAACACTTAAAAACTGATAAATCAGGGTAACACTAAACTTACTCATTTTTGTTTACTTCATTTAATCTTTCTAGCCTTTGCTCTGCTATCTAAATATCATTTCTGCCTGTATGTTTGCTATTGGAGGAGAACTGTATGTCTCAGAATTACTTGTGGCATTAACAGAAAACATAAATTGGCTAAAATCAATTTTCATTTTCCTTTTTCTGAATCACAGGGCTATCTCTTCATCTCCGTACTAGTGAACTCTAACAGTGAGCTGATTCGCTTAATAAACAATGCGATCAAGAATGATCTGGCGAGCCGCAACCCCACTTTCATGGGGCTTGCTCTGCATTGCATTGCTAATGTGGGTAGCCGGGAGATGGCGGAAGCATTTGCTGGAGAAATTCCAAAAATACTTGTAGCTGGGTAGGTATGATGTGCCTCCTTCAAATACCACACCAATAAACCTTTTCAGCGATTCGGTTCCATTGCAGCAGCTTAGTGCATGCTTAGAGCTATACAGTCCTGGGCTTGCAGTACAAATAATGACAATTTCCAGTAACTGCAGATACTTAGATATACCTGAGCATGGAGTTGCTTGTATAAGTGTACAAATACAACATGGAAATTAAGACTATGTCAATATCTTGAATAGGCTTTTCCAGCTTTGTTGTGATCAAGTTTTTGTTCTGTATAAACATGTGGCAGTGAACACCCCTGAAATGTGTGTTTTACTTTCCTCATTTCTCCTGATGAAAAGAAGAAATAAATGAACCTAAATAGATGTTTACACTACAGATTTTGTTATAAACTGAAGGTGTTATTTAAATGGTCCTTACTTCATAAGGAACGTGACAATATTCTGTTGTGAGAGCTTTCTTGCTTACTCTACTAGCCATGTGTAGCCATTTAAACAACAATTCCTGTAAATGGCAAATAGTTACCGCCAACTTTCTAACTTACCCTTCGTATTGCTAGAAGTCTCTAAACAGCCCTGGCAAATGTCTGGAGCTGTAGTTAAGTAAATCTAAAATGAAACTTGTGATTGCAGGGCTAATTTATTTTGAAACTTAAAATGTCTAAGTGCAAACAGTGCATTTAAACTCTCTTATGGATATGAAATGTTTTGGAATATGCATGGAACTTGCTTTATAACAAACTCATGTCTTTAATATTAAAAAGTAACAACTTGCGTAAGAACTGTATTAATAGTCTAAATGTCAAGCACTGGAGCTTGCAAATGTTGGAAATGTGCTTGCTCATGCAACACTAATTCTGACTGTCTATTATGTGCACTGAGTTGGCAACGAGGAAGGATATAATGTGTGATACCTAGTTGTGACAAAAATCTTGGGAAATACTTCTGAACTCTTGAAATAGTGTGTCTATAATGCCACACTCAAACATTGTTACTATTTTGCAGAGCTGAAATGTAGTATGGGCCAGAAAGAGAAGAATAAACAGCTAGCACCTGATCCTCAATATGGGTCTGGTCTGGTGGAGCAAATGGGGGAGAATCTATCCCGTAATTCCACCTTTCTCAGACATGGAATTCCCTATGTAAGGGCGCATGTTTAGAGATGGCGTGTTCTGGGTCCCTGTCAGGCTTGTTGCTGTCCTGTCCTGCACTGCCCTTGCCAGGTGCTATTCTCCATGTAGCATAGCGGAGACAACACTGCAATGATGAGTCATGGGTTTTAATAAGATAACCTTTAAAAGTTCCAAAAATTTCACTTAGGGTCATCAATCACAGAGCGCAGAACCTTCAGTTCAGATTTGTTTGAACTTTGAGCTGTGTTTATGTTCTGAGATCAGTCTTCAGGGCCTAATTCCTTCTGCATTTCTAAGAGAATATATGTAAAATGTGTATGTGTACATAACATGTCACATCTAAGTGACCGGTGCAGAATGAGCACTGTCCGTTACATTTGCAACTTTAGTGTAGCTCCCTTGGCTTGAATATAAATTGGAGGGAGCGGGCAGGGAGGGGAGGAATAGGATTGTTTTCTGTTTTTTTTAACCAAGGTACAATTTGATCTCACAGAAAACTGGTAAATTCATAAAGAATAGGTAGACTGAACTTCTACTGGGGGTGTGGAGGTTTCTGAACATTTAACCAAGATTGCACAGTATAAACTGCCTCTTAAAACTTTCAGTGCTAATGCTCTGTACATTTTTTTAGCTGTTGTTTGTGCAAAATACAAAATGCTTAATTGACTACTTTGTGAAAGGGAGTTTACTGAACTAGAATAGGAGCATGCTGCTCTTAAAATAGTCCATTTCTGTGCCAGCAGCATGGATGGCAAGGTGAATAGTTGTGGGTTGCATGCTTGGTGATAGCTAGCCAGCTTGCATGCTAGCTGTAGGTACTGAAGCTGTTGAGTAGTTAATGATTTGTATCTGATATGCAGGACCTATCAGAAGATCCAGCTTTGGTTGCATGCATAATATAGCGTACCTTGACTGTTTGACTTGAGTCAGTTTGAAAGAAGCTTGTTCTTGTGGTTTAGATGAGCCTGTGCTTATCTAATGAACTTTCAATTCTGATAAAAAGATGTGAAATGTCACTCGTAAGTTGCAAAGAATCATTATAGAGGCTACTAGACATATGTAATGCTTGAAAACTTGACTAGTAAAACTTCCTGGGCAAAATTAAGAAGAACAAATACTATAACATAGAAGTTTGTGAACTTCTGTTTCAACTTCTGTCGAAAAGATGCTACCTGGCTAGGGATGCTGAGTCAGTGCAAAGACTAGCGTAATGCTAGCCTGCAAGTACTGCTGTGACTTAACCACTGTATTTTAAACACATATTTATGTCTTGTAGAGATACTATGGATAGTGTGAAGCAGAGTGCTGCCTTATGCTTGCTGCGTTTATATAGAACTTCTCCTGACCTTGTCCCCATGGGAGACTGGACATCTAGAGTGGTGCATCTCCTCAATGACCAGCACTTGGTAAATCAGCTTCATTATGCTTCTCAGGCCTACTCTTTATAGAGAATCATGTTACTTCTGCTGTTAAATACACTATTAATTTATTTCTTCTAGAGTCTTTCAGGCAAGTGGGTTGCTGTTTTCTTCAGGCATGGGGAAAGAAATGGAAGGAGTTGTCCTTTTTTAGTTGCTGTATATATTAATTTTTAATAAAGCTTTGTTTACCTTTTTCTTGGAGATATAAGAATGGTATGCACAACTTCTTCTTTTGCTCTGGCTGTAAATAAATTAATCCTGTGCCTTGTGATCCAAAGCCATATTGCATAGGTGTAATACTAATTTTCCTAGGCCTTTTAAGACTAGACCTGCACTAAAAATACAAGGCCTGATTTGTCAGTGCCTGGACTTCCTTGTCCTGTGGTGTCCATGTTGTCATTCTTATCTTGCTGGTTCAGAAAAACCTATTTTTCTAGATAAGAGACTCTATTTTTTCCCCCTGTCTAGTTACTTTATGAAAGTAAGGCTATTAAGATCTGTGCTTCAGCAGTAATAAGAGTGCTTTAGTCTGAAGTAATATAAAATGCTTGGGTTACACAAAGCTCTCTCTTCATGTTGGGTTGTCAGAAATCTTTCCTGGATGGTCTGCTGCATCCTATTTCTTCTACTCATGCTTCTCTTGTGTAATAAGACAATTTGCATCCAGGCTTTATTTTAATATAGCTTTCTGTTATTTTAGATGTACTATCCAAACATGAGACAAAGCTAACAGAAAAATAGCATTAAATGCTCTGCAAGCCCGGCAGTATCATGTTGTTGAAAATTCTGTTGGATTGGGGTCTGTATTGGGACCGGTACTGTTTAATATCTTTGTCAATGACATAGACAGTGGGATCGAGTGCACCCTCAGCGAGTTTGCAGATGACACCAAGCTGGGTGGTGCGGTCAACGCACCACAGGGATGGGATGCCATCCAGAGGGACCTGGACAAGCTCAAGAAGTGGGCCTGTGTGAACCTCATGAGGTTTAACAAGGTCAAGTGCAAGGTCGTGCAGATGGGTCGGGGCAACCCCCAGTATCAGTACAGGCTGGGGGATGAAGGGATTGAGAGCAGCTCTGAGGAGAAGGACATGGGGGTACTGGTGGATGAAAAGCTGGACATGAGCCAGCAATGTGTGTGCTTGCGGCCCGGAAGGCCAACCGTAGAATCATAGAATCAGAGGTTGGAAAAGACCTCTAAAATCATCGAGTCCAACCATCGACCCAACACCACCATGCCCACTAAACCATGTCCCTAAGCGCCTCATCTACTCGTCTTTTAAATACCTCCAGGGATGGGGACTCAACCACTTCCCTGGGCAGCCTGTTCCAATGTTTAACCACTCTTTCAGTAAAGA